ACCATGTAGTCTGAGGTGCATTCCATCTTCTACCACACAAACACTGGAATTTTAGTCTGAATCATGCTCAGGATATGGCTGTATGCCTGCACATTTTCTGTGTTTGTCCTGCATAGGGAAAGACTTTGTGATGGGTCATTCCTTTGTCCAAGGAGCCCTATCAAGGCTCACAGTGTCATGAGCTGATTTTGAACTGGGAAAGGCCAAGTAACTTAATTTATAAAAAGGGGGGAGGAGGAGGAGAAATCGTTTTATGTCCTGATATACTGCAAATATGGAGTGCAATTTCCAGAACAAAAAGAAGTCCATACTTGCCTACACACCAAAAACAGTATCTCATATACATATTACTACAGAACATGTGTGGATCATGAGGTAGGTTTCCTGACTGGAATTTTATTACCTTTATTCTAAATCCTAACAATTATCTTAGCATTTTAATATATTTTATGCCAGTTTTAATAAAAGTTAGAAATTCCAGTACTTGCAAACTTTCCTAGCTGCATCATGTGTATTAAAGTGCCCTACAGCACAGATCAGTATACAGAAATGCCTGTAACTGAACTTGTAAGTTGTCCCTTCATCTGAAACAATTCACTATATCTTTCTTATGCTCGGAATATCTCCAGAGTACGTCAACTGAGAGCTGCCAGCAACTTTCATACATCAGAAGAGTTTCTATAATATTTCAAGTAAAGTATGGTGATGACTGACGATATTGGTGATGGCTGTGATAACAATGAACATGTAATTATTAGATATCCACTGCCTGAACATTGCACAAAACTGTACAAGATGGCAAGACATTTGGCATCGATTTTGTCTGCTGCTGGCACCAGAGTGGCTAAATTCTGACTTCATAAAATACTAGGTAATCCAGAATTATTATACAGTTGACGGGTCCAGTGCAAAAAAAAAAATAGGATGGATGCATGGCCAGTTAAAATTTTAAAAATAGGATGGATCCATGTATAGTTAAAAATTTAGTTTTTATGCTGTTGGCTTTCCTTGTCACTAGCTTCTTGACATATACTTGTCTGGGGCTTATGCTTATCTCTAAAGCTGGAGGCTCCTCTGAAACAGTGAACTTAACCACACCAGATGGTGTCACATCTGGGAACATAATGTTCTTCGTTAAGTTTTACATTGAAGGATTTGAGATTCTCACAGCTGTGGCTCTGAAGATTTCTATCTTCTGGGATGTGACACCATGTAGGTGTATAAACAAAATTCTCAAATGTATCGGTGGAAAAAACATCAAGTGATTAGTTACACAGTTATGGCAAACATGGGGCCAGGGCATTGAATTTTGAATATGTTTCTGTTAAAAGTCTAATCACGCTCTTTTGCGCTACACCCTTTAGATGTATAATTCAGTGCTAGGCATAAATGAACCTCCTGTGTGGGCATTTCAATGACCTACTGCTGCAGGTGGAGTGGCCCCTTAGATCTCTACAATGGCTCTCATGACCTGCCATGTTCACTGTTACAGGAGGAGGAATAATACCTCCCAGTTAACGAACAGGGTGTCACACAAGATGAGAATAGAGGAACAGTGACCTTCTAAAGAGCCTATTTTGAGTGCAAAATGGGAGAAAAGAAAAAATGCTCTTCTCTCTTTTCTTCTAGTCACTATGCCCTCAAAAATATAATATTTAACAGACAAAATATTCTTTATATTATTTTCCTTGCTCCTACTGTTTCAAACAAGATCCTGGTTAGCCCTTTAAAGCAGAGGTAACAAGTGATTATACAGTGTCACATACCAAGGGACAGTAATCTTTACTGAAAAGATCTCCCGTGTCTAAATCACTTCTGAGAATTCTTCACCCACTGGGTGACGTAAGTTATTACATTCCATTTTCAACACAGTCTTAATCAAGATCACTGTACTGGCAATCTCATTCAACACAGAGAAGTTTTCTTAAGGTTACCTACCCAAAGTATGGCAATTCCTGAAAGATGTTTTTGACAAAGAATAATGCACATTAAATGTTCAGAAGCAATGTGATGAAGTTCATATGATTTTTAACTCTGGGGAAAACTGCAGTACAGATTAATTCTGAGGAAAACTTACACTGACAGCAGCTGAATGTACTACCATGTTACATTTATTGTGTTCTCCACCTTATTCCTGTTGCTTGGCTTGAAGCAAGCTAGCAGGAAAGCCAAACATAGCTTGTAGGCACCTAACAACTACCTACTGGACATTATTGGTTCAGAAACCACTATTTCAACTTCCACAGTCTACTTTTGGCAATATTTAGACAGCGGACAATCCAACTTACAAAATTCCAGTTTATATTCATCAGGCAAGCAACAATTTTGTAATTGCACTGAGTTTTTTTTTTTTTTTCAAATAGATAAATGTTATCCTAAGAAAGTAGTATCCTATAATGTACAGTGTTTATATATAATATTTATATATTTAAATTTTATGTATAATATATATATACTATCTATAATCATTTCATTTCATATATAAAATAACTTGATTAACTCTTCAACGAGTTGTTACAGTTTATCCATAGTTAAGTAAAAGTCCCCCTTGGTAAAAGTGGATATATGCAAATGTTAAACTCTTGGAGGTGTGTCTGTTTAGCTTTTCTAGTTACTACGAGATTCTATCAAAATTCCACTCTCAACAGTGACCAAATCCTTCAAAATGTACCGAGCATGTAACAATAATTTTATCAAAATTATTGCAGCACCACTGTTAAGAACCAAACTGGAGTAAAAACTGAGATTTTTTAACACAATATATTTCTTTTATATCATCCCAAGTGAAGATATAATTGTGCAGTTGGAAATTCCAGTTTAGAGTCTTTATATATTTTGGTGTCTCTGATTCACTCATGCTTTTCTTTGCTCTTACAGCACTTTTTTTTTTTTAATTTCCCCATAAAACGTTTTGTATTTGTCTAATGTGCAAACATCTAAGGCCTGATTGGTTACTAGTAAAACAGATGGAAAAAGTTTCCAAGTTCTTCTTTCTGCTTCAATTTCTTGCCAGCCCCCTTCTCTCTTCTTCATGTCTTGCAGAGCCTGCATAACCAATCTTCTGAGTCTCCCTACACGTCTTCTCTCAAGTATTCTTGCTCTGCTCTTCTTTTAACTTGGCCACATCACTGTAGTTTTTCTCATCAGACTGTTTTCAACAAATTTTATATTCAAACTTTCTAATAATTCAATTTGAGATAATTTCTTGCTTTGTCCTCAGTACTTTTCTCTTTGCAGCTGTCCACATTACACATTTTTATGTTAGTGAAGGTTTAAAATGTAGACCCACTTCAGACGGTCGTTTTGCTATGTCTATGGATCTCTTTATTAACGTTCCTTTCAAAATTTGACAAAATTTAAAATGTTCATCTACCAATTTGTTATATATTTTCCCTTCTGAATTTATAGTATACTCTCGCTAATCTGGTTGACAGATAATCCAAATATAAGTATGAAAAATGCTGTTCACAGTTGAGTAAAGTTAAAAAAGACACTTGGCATTTAGGAGGGCATATGAGTCACTTGTCTGTTCAAACAGTACTTGGCAGTTTCTTCAAACCTGCATTATTATGTTCAAAAACAAGTACATCTTCCGAGTCTTCTGTCGATAGCTAATTGTACAATCTTATATTTTTTTATTCATTTTATTTCATCAGCAGTACCTATATCATTAAATTTTCCATTCATTCATGTTCTAAACTTTTGGGGGGGGGGTTACCTTTTGCTTCACCAATTCAGATGACCCCTCCCACCTATTACTCTGGATCAGCGAGAGTTTACTGTATTTTTTACTTCCTAAATAAATGAATTTGTCCATCAATTTAATTAGGTCACTCGGTGGCTCGGGTTCAGTCCCTAGTCTGGTCAAGTGGGAATTGTGGTGGACTAAGTGGCGCTGGTGCAGGTTTTCTCTTGAGTACTTCGGTTTCCCCTGCCAATCTTCATTCCATCAACTGCTCCACAATCAACCTCACATATCATCTGGGGCTGGTACAATAGGCCAGAAGTGGCTGCAGTACCAAGTGGACTCAGTTCCCACCTCACCAAGTAATAATAATAAAAAAAAAAAAATAGGTCACTGCTTGTCAATATTCTTCCCCATTTCTTCACATGTATCTCTTCACTTTCTCTTCATGATTCTCCAAAGCAATACATTACCTGTATTATCAACATTCTCATGTCTGGTCTGTTGTTCCCTCCAGACTTTCTTAGGAATTCCACCCAATGTGGCACTAATGTGACTGCTGTGGGAACATTTCTTTGTCTCCTAATACTGTTCATTTTGAACCTCTTGTCCTTTCTAATTCTGATTAAACCAAATCTGTGAAATTGTTCTCATGTTAGCTTAAGTTTTCTTTTAAGATACTGTGGTAAATGTAATCTTCTTAAGCTTGACCAAATCTTTTCTCTCCTTAAACTGTTGCATACGTTCACACAATCTCCAAATACTGTTAACATACCCTTCCAAGATTCCAAACCTGTCAGAGATCTTTCACATCAAAATGTCATGTTGCTTCTAGTACAGTATGCGCCAAAATGTGCAGTACTGAAGCTTGCTCATCTCGAACGTGCGTGTTTATCAACGGGGCATAGCTCCAGCCGCACCTGTTCCCAGTAGTGAAGAGGAAGTTGTGTTGTGCACTTGTTGGAAATGGGTCTCTCAACGGAGGAAAAGTATTCATAGTTGAGTATTATTTCCGCTCATACGGAAGTGGTCGCCAGACAACGCGCTTCCTTGGTTTTGAGCAGCTGGATGTTATCACCCAGAAACCGCTACACAGTACACACGTGACGGTATGCTGTGCCGTCTCAGCACACGGTATATTAGGCAACTATTTCATTGAGGATGAGGAAGGCAATGCTCTTACTGTCACCCAAGAACGCTACAGAGACATGGTGATCAGTGGTTTCTAAAAAGTATTTGGTGCCTCTGAAGATGATCCAAATGGATCGACAGATGTAAGGCTAGTGAATCATCAAGTGAGAAAACTGAAATAGTCACATTGGACGGACTTGTCTTTATAATTATTAAATATATCTTTCTCCTAATGAGATAATTTTGAGAGGGAGAATTTTACGTGATGAGAACGTATTGTACAACGTATTTTAACTTTTGGGAGAATTTACCATAAGATCTGAGTTTCTGGAGATAAACCATTCTCTCTTGGGAAGAAATATATTTAAAAGGCAGCAATGTGAAACTGAGGCTTCCCTGCATAATATTCCAAATCTGCAACAGACACCAATGACCTAACTAGGGCACAGACCCCAAAACATTAGACGCATCTTCGGTACTGACAGTGTTTCATACTTTCCAGAAACAAAGCAACATGGCCACTATTCTGATGTGGCTCTTGCACAAATCAGAACACACAGATGTCTGCAACATATATGACTGCATGAACAATATCCATGTGTTTGATGAGAACACCGGGGTTCAATATCAGCCATATTTTCTTTACAATCAACAAATGACTTGATACTTATGTAAGTTAACTAATATCAGTTAAACTAATTTCAGTCTTTACCAAAGAAAGTGAACTCATTACAGCATATTTATCTCAGGGACCATTTAAGGTTTGCAGTTTTAAACAAATATAAACAACAGAAAATATGAACTATAAATTTTTGTTTTACATATAGTTTACAAGGCTTGAATGATTTTACATTTCTACATAAAACAAAATGAAATAATCCAACAGTGGTCTTGCATTCAGAATACAAATTAACACAAAAATATTAACAAAATTATGCAGATTTTTCAATGAGTAGAAATAAACTGCATAAATATAACCAATAATAATAAATAATGCTAATAAATAATATAACAAAACATGTTTTGTTAAGTATGATTCATGGATTTTGAACCACCTCCATCCCTGTTACCCTGCAATACAATCATCTCACTGCTCACACATCCAAGGGCTTAATCATAAAGCAAAAAACAATTATATAGGCCAGCAGCTTGTTACCCTGTGCAGAGGGATCTCATTGCGATTTATATGTTATAATAATTACAAAATGTTTCGAGGACAAGATACGCAGCAATTGCATCGCAAGATGGCAGTCTGTCTAGGACAGACTCTTTAATCCTCGCTTGGAACAAAACAGAGAGAACAATGGGGCTCCCCCCACCCACCCAACAGTTTACCTGTAAAAGGCTCCAACACAAATTTAAACTGTGAAGTGGCAAACATTTCTTTCTCATGATTACCAGGGAAGATTGCCACAATGTAACTTTTGTAAGAAAATAAATACACCAAATTTACACTTTTCTACATATTAATTTTTGTTGTAATTTTTTACGGAAAATGAGAGTTCAAAAGCTTACTTCTGACACATTATTAAATTCAATATATGGTATATTTATGATGAGAACGAAATGTTTACTCTTACATCAAGAAAAGACTGTTGGAAACTTCTTGTTTATCTCTGCACTGGTTTGAAAACACCTGTTGGCAAGCACTCACTGTGGTTATAAGGCAAATGACTAAGGTGACCACACACTTAGCTGCATCAACTAACAAAGCTGCCAAACACTTTTGACATATGCCGGTTCCTCATTTGCTCACTCTGTCAACCTGGAGTACATGGCCGCAAAAAACTTCACGGCAAGGACGGATGGCAAACTAAGAGGAGCATAGTTGATGGCATCTGATCACCTGCACGGCGCAAGCAACACTTCCAACCAGCAAGGACACGCTGTCACTTCCTGCCGTGAATAGTTGGGACCCCAGCCCTTGGCAAAACTGATGCGTACAGAGTTGGGGTCTACGGGCCCCGTGCCAGAATAGTCCCAGTGACGAGAACATGACGCTTTGTCAGCGTTGAAGATGTTCAGACAGTGACCTGGCGGTACCCGATATACCAGAAGTGTCCTTGATTCAGGATCCTCCAGTGTTGGAGAGTTGATGAAGATGGGGCTGTCCGAACGGTTGTAAGCCCACACACCGTCTCCCTCCTGGCTCAGTGTCACACCTGGAAACCAACAACTTGGTACACTCTTGTATACAATCTACATACATTCTATAAACATCTATAAACAATCTATAAACACCGCCTGTATCTGTCCTCTGTTTCTCCCGGAACAGCGCACTGTAGAAAAAATGGCAAAGCTAAGACATTCCTCTCAGATACAACATTGAGAAAATTGTTAATTTTGCTGTTATATGTATGGGTTTGAATCCAAGCCTGTGTCTGCTACATTATTTCCTCCACAAAAAATAATGGGACCACGAGGACGTAAGATCTAAAAGTTTGTGAAAATGGTACATTAGTACAAATATTATGTTTCTGGACATTATCCATTATCTCGTCTTTATCAAAAATCTCTTCTCTTTATTTTTTCAAAACAGAAAGTTTCGGAGACTGGAGATAGGGACTAGCTAAATCGATTGGGCCCAAATGAATCGGTTTTACCTGAAGACAAAGACAGAATCCAGTCTCAGAAACATTGTGTTTTGAAAAATAAACAGGACGGTTTTCAGAGAAAGACAAGGCAATGGATAAGGTCCAAAAATATAATATTTGTACTATGAAGACAGTATGTAACCTTGATGCATTTTACAGTAACCATGACAATGAAATGTGTTTACACAAGACTGTGGTATTAAGTTTCCTTTTTGTCTTAAGATAACTTACTTGCATATTTCAGTAGTTATAAATCCACTACAATTTTATGCAGGGAAATTAAACAGGCGGCCATTTTAGTGTGGGTATAGAATTTCCTTTACATGGCCTGCCCCATAAGAAGTGTGTTCTGAAAGTCAGTCAAAGAACCTGGACAGTTAAATGTTTCAGTAACCGACATAAACAACAAAAGTATTTGTGAAATAGTTGTGCAGGTTTTCTGCACGGGCAAGCTAGCACATACTGTATAATGGCTCAGGATCAGATGTGAAACTGAATGTCCTGATATAAATATTTCATGGTTTTTGCTGTCCCTTCAGGCAAATGCTTTACACTAGGCCATGACGACTTTTTCCATATCCGGTCCAATTCATTATTCAACATCATACACTCACATGCATCAATATGCAGAATGAGTTACTGATTAGAAAAAGTAAAGCTATCCCTGTAACAGGCTGTGGAGGTCCATGAGGGTAGTGAGATGTCAAGGCTCCCACATTTTCTAGACGACTGGATCACAGATGGCAGTGAGGTTCTGAGCCTTACGCGCCGGGAGGCCGCCCTTTACCCCAGGAAGATTCCTGGTACTCATTCTAGAGGCTGATAGTGTCATCAAATAAAATGACAAATAAATAAAACAGATGGCTCCATGAACCACTCTGCATCTGTCTAACAAGTTGCGACTCCCCCCCCCCCAAGGAAAGACAAGGTCAGAGCCCAAAGCCAACTACTAATATCTATTTAATACTGATTAACAGTGTGTGGCTCTTTACCTACATTGCCTTATACCCCTTCATGGAGTAGAGCATACGGATTCAACTTTAGATTTACGTCATTTAGCACACGAAATCACAGCAGTAACTATATATACCACTTGCTGCATTTTGTCTGCACTCATGTGCATGTTCCTTTTTTGCATGACCCTCAGAACAAACAGTGATTAACTCCCTCCATGGGATTAGCCACGGCACGGCACGTCCTCTGAGAAAGAAGATGTGAATTTTGAAATATTTAGATAAATTTCAGGCTCGAGAGGTTATGGTACACTGTTCAGAACATGCTGTGGGAGAGCCACTATTTTTTCGTGGGATGTATAGAACACAATACTTCTAAGCCCAAACAAACATGGAATGTATTTTCATAATGAAACTTAAATTGCAGTAAGTCGGTCCAGCTTGTTATTTCTTTCGTGTAAAGCACATTGATTCAGGATTAAGCATTTGGCTCAAAGTTCTCAAACTTCTAATACCATGTGGCTCCTTTAACGCAAACATAAAACCATCTTGTAACTTCCTGAAATAACAGTATCAAAATAAAAACAGTTAACAGAAATTAATTAAGCCTTACAATAGACTGAGGGGGAAGAGAAATTTAAAATCATAATTTTAAAGGTACCAAAAATATTACATGATTTTTTTTTAATATTTAACTTACGACTGCTTAAAGGAACAACAATTAAAGAACAACCATTTGTGGCCTTGCTACAGCACTCCATATGCCCCTACATGAATACTGATAGCCTTCCTTTTATAATACCTAAGTCGGTATTGCAACTGGCTATGGGCTGGACAACAGTGGGGATGGAGTTCGAGTCCTGTAAGGTCAAGAATTTTTTCTTCTCCAAGTGGTCCAGATCAGCTCTGGGGCTAACACAGTCTCATATGCAATGGGTATTGGGTGGCTAAGGCGACCGGGGCGTGAAGCTGACCACTCACCCCCAAATAGTGCAGAGGTCAAGAAAACGTGAATCTTCATATGCACTCCTCCATACGTCTTCATGGCGTAGTGTTTAATTAATTAAGCACATGGACAACTTTACACGAGCTTTTATAAGAATGCGCATAACCTCAATTTCGTTTGTCATGACCTCTAACTAGCCCATTCGAAGTTGCGTACGAACAAAAATGGAAACGAATACACTGTCAGCAAGTCAGTTCACCTTACGGTCTGGTGTTAAGTAAAACATTACGCCTATTGCAATTCTCATCACGAAATTTCGCTGTACGAACCTTCTCCAGAAACGCCACTATTCGTAAGAGTAAGGCATTCCTGTATAATTCAAACCCCGCGCGACGGGCACTACGTAATTACGTTAGACTTCGTTGTGCATAATATTGATGGCAATTCCGTGACTGTCACTACAGCAGAACAGCGATTTAACTATCACTGGCCACTCCTGCGTGTAACACAGCAAGCCCGGACTCTGAAGAAAGAATGTAGCACTGCTGTCTATATGTCAAAGAGTACAGTCTCAGCCAAAGTAAAAGTTACTTGACGACTAGCGGTTTACGACCCATCAGTTTGTCTTGACATCAAGCCCCTTGAGACTCACGGCCAGAGACTCTCCCCCCCCCCCAACTGAACCCTTGCGGTCATAGTCCTTATGTAACATCCTCTCTGACAAGGAGATGGGTTAGTCTCTTATGAATATGCTTGGCCTTGTCACGTGTACATATCGGACATACAGCGTGTTATTGAAAATTCTTCCTTTTGCACTATATACAAGGCGTCTGTCAGTACAGGATTTCCGAAGCTGATCATGCCTATCTTATGTATCTTACGCTACAACGACTGCTTAGTTACTTGAACGGTCGTAAGCTTGAACACCGCAAAATATTTTTTTTTTCGTAGCTCGCATATAAAGCATGCAAGTGTCAACATATGACTACAGGCCAAGGCCGTATAGCGAGTAGAGGTACTTACCGAGGCCTATTTTGGCGCGCGTCCGGCGGACGGACTCATGAGGTGGCGAGAAGGCATGCTGAGTCAGTGTGGCGAGGCACAAGCCGTCACCATGAGGTAGAGTAGTAAACACGTTGACCGCTGGCAGCTCCACTGAGAAGAGACGCCCAACTCTAGTTGCCAGTTCCCAGTAAGCCAGCTTGCACCACTCCCGCTCACCAGCCTCTCCTGAAATTCACCAAGTCTCAGTTCAGCTATGTGTATACACGTATCGAGCAAGTCACGCATCTGTGCCCGCTTCCAATTTTTGGAAAACATTAACATTTCGGAAAAAGAAGGAAACATCCAAACATTAAGAGCATTTTTAGCCTCTTCCGTATTTTTTGAAGATTAAAGTATGCTTACAAGATCACCTTGCGGTGTGTCTGTATGTACATCCCTTCACCCTAACAATTTCTGAATATCTGAACCAACCATTATGAAACTTTGCATGTATGTCTCAACGGGGAAACTTTATCATAAATCCCTACCATCAGTAATACTAACATTACATCCCCTCAATTTATTTAGGCAATACCCTTAATATAATATTACTGTCACGACTTTATCAAGTAATCGTATTTGACACTTTTTTCCCCCTTGGCACTACAGCCCCAGTGGGCCTAGGCCTACCTCCATGAACTCCGTTCAATTCGGTTTTTCTAGATCTTACACGTACGGTAGGACTCCTTGGGCGAGTGATCAGCTCGTCGCAAGGCCTCTACCTGTAGACAAACACAGAAAAATGCACACAAACATCCATGCCCTGAGTGGGATTCGAACCCACGATCCCGGTTTCCGAGCGAGCGAAGACAGTGCATGCCTTAGACCGCTCGGCTACCGTGACCGGCATCTGACACTTACAGAACCTAATTAAAAATAACTACGACAGTCTGATTGGTTTACACGCTCCAAAGATCACTGTAACTACAGCACATACAAGTTTTCTTAAGTCTTCACTAGTAGTTGCTTGTCAGCGGCTTTCAACGGCGGATGTTACCATCCCTCTGGGTTCCCGAACTATCCGCGACCTCAGCTACCTGCTTCTAAAAGCAGCTCAGGGCTGAACCACTGTGTGAGAGAGAGAGAGAAGAAGTGGTGGTCGTAGTGAGACACACTACATTGGGGGGGGNGCTAACGTTGGGAGGGCTATATTAAGGCGAAATTTTGATGTTAACAATGGGAGGGCTGCATGTGAGGCATGCAGTGCAACGTGGAATTGGGTACCAACTCAGCATTTGCTCTAGTACCGAGGAAAACCACGGAAAACATCAGTTACCTCACTGCACTCCACCGACACGGACCGCACAGAAAACATCGTTCCAGCCTTGCCTTTGTTGCTTGCGCAGCCATCGACGCGGACCACGCAGAAAACACCATTCACCTATTGCTGGGTCATTACCTAGTAACGGCCGTTGTGAGTTTGCTTCGCGGTCGTCGCCCAGTAATGGGCCTATATGCCGCATTACATTTCAAAATTTGTTATGTATATGCCACCTGAGCCCGTCTGAAAGGAGAACTTGATAAATCCCTGCCATCAGTAATACTATCATTACGTCGCCTCAATTTGTTGAGGTAATAACCTTAATATTACTTGAATGCCTGAACCGATTATCATGAAATTTTGTACGTATATCATGACGCCTCAGTCCATCTCAGAGGGGTACTTAATAATTCGCTCTCATCAGCACTACCAACATAACTGTCGTATGAAATATTCAATGTGTTGTGAAAGGGCTTCTTGTTAATTGAATCCTCCCCCCCCCATGAAAGCTCTAGGGCGAATTGTGAAATTTATGAGCATTACCAAGTTTTTGGGAATCATGGACTCAACCGAGTAGTTGTCTCCCCACCTTCTCACTTGACGACGATAACAGATCCGGTTTCCGAAACATTGTGCCCTCTAGGAACACTAGACAATGGACGAAGTCCAGAAGCACAGTAATCCCAAAGTGTCGAAACCATTCTGAACCGACTAGATAGTAACTAGATGCGTAAACGGCTTTAGCCTACTGTCTGTAAGGAATTTTTCTGGCTTCCCCCATCGAAAAGGAAAATCGTTTGCCATTCTGACCTTAGTCTGGAGTCATGTGTCAACAGTTCTAGTAGTTACTGACATGACAGCCAGGTGGCAGTGAGAAGCGCCTATGCTTCGGCTGGCATTGCAGTCTCAACATTTCCATTCTTAATAGCATGCATATTCAACGAAATTGCTGGAGACGGGAACTCTTAGTTCCCAGGTTACGTGCAACTTCGCTCACGCGCTGGACACGTCGCTGGAGGTGTCCGGTTAAACAAAAATTTCAGTTAACACCTGTGTCCGTTGCCTCGACGCCACAAACCTGCGCTTGGTGGTTGTACTTAGCTGTATATTTAACGTGTATCTCTACCATACCTTACTGTTGCATTATGTTGCAGGCCGCCAGTAGATCTGATGAGCGGTGTGTTGCTACTGACCCTGTGATCAGGGGTCTACTGAACCCACTAAACTGTCGAGTGTTTTGTCCCAATTTCAGGGAGGAAAGTCATATAATGCACCTTTCTCTCTCTCTCCGTATTGTATTGCGCAACCTCCATGTGCTTCCGTAAATTGTTAACACTGTCCCCGTGCTTAATTAAGCACCACGCCATGAAGACGTATGCAGGTTTAGGGGTATAGCTCCAGCAGTCTTTACCTCGACACTAGACGGTGAGTCGCCAGCTTCACGTCCTGGCCGCTTTATTCACGGTGGAACACTGGATAGAAGGCTAGATGGATCCCACATACGGTCTGGACGCTGTAGAGAACATAACATTTGTCGTACCAGCAACAGAACCCCAATTACTGGCCGGTCCAGCCCCTAGGCAGGCTGTTACCAACTGAGCTATCCCAGCGCCCAAGATGTACATCTTAATAGTGGCGAGCTCGCATCTCCGTACAGAGATGTCGCCTCTGGAAAAGTTGTTACACTCTTCTTGCATAAGGGACCTTCTTCTGCACTTTTCCTGGAATTTGCGCACATCGTTTCACTCTAGCGTACGCTCACTGATTTACGACGACAGGACAAATGCTATGACGCCACAAATGTTATGCGCATGGAAGGCGTCTCTTTAATAATCACGAACCATTAAAAGTTAATCCCAAATAATAGTTAGCCGCGCCCAAAGTTCACACAACTTTTCCGTTTCGTTCAAGGCAATTTGCATGCCGATACGCAAATATAAATTGCGAAACAATGTTTACGAATCGAGATGAACTGCCGCTGTGATGTCAAATGGTCCTAGCCCACTCGGCTCTTAACCGTTAGAAGCACGAGTAAGTCAGAGTCAAGAATTACTTTCTGACTGGCAGATTACCGGCGGGTTACCGCCAATCAGTTCATTTTGGCGACAAGCCCCTTGAGACTCACGACCAACTGAACACTTGCGGTTATATCCTTATGTATGTAACATCCTCTCTAACGAGAGGATGAGTCTGTCGTTTACAACTGCTGTTGGCCCTGCCAGCGCAGCCATTCTCAGGTCTGAGTCCTGCATGACTCACGACCATATTTTACTGTCTCAGATTCGAGACTCCCAAGGTACCCAGCATTTATACCCCACAGGAATAGGGCGATCCAGTTATACACCCAGGTACTGGCTTCCCTTTTCGTCGGCTCCTACAACTCGAAGGGCTACGGTGGAGGTACTGGACCCCGCCTCCACACGGGATAGCATGAATAGGAGTTAACAGTCAGAGTTACTTTTAAGGCTGCCGGTTTACCGTCAATCGGTTCGTCTGGCGTCAAACGTATATGCATACACACGGCGTTCAGCACGAATAAACTTTCGTGTAAATAATATAATATAAACTTCAGTTCTTACCGCATATAGGACAGAGCGCACACTACAAAATCAACATCTAATAATACTACAACTTTTATTTTAAATTCTTGTAAGCCTACTTTCCTTCCTTTGAGAAAATGAAAGTAGGCTTATGCGATCTCCATGCTGTTTTTAAACACCCCCCCACCCCACCAACTTATGAATCGCTGGACCAATCTTTATGAAACTATGTATATCATTGCTCTTGAGCCAATCTCAACGGCGTACTTCATAAACCCATCACATTAGTCTGTCTACATGCATATCCCCCTATAGTTGCTAGGTAACGGCTCGGTAAAAAAATTATCGCGGGAACGAACACACGTCAACAACAGAATTGTTGGGCACGTCATTTTCTGTGCAGTCCGTGTCGTATGAAGGTCAGTAGGTGACTAGTTCTTACCAGAACGTCTTGTTCGAGTATCATACGAAAAGCATCTAAATTACTCTGCTCACAGAAAGTGCAGAGTCTGTGAATGTTACAGCAAACAGAGCCTTACGTTAAAGGGTTAGCAGCGGCCTCCGTAGTCTAGAGGTAACGTTCCCACCTCATGACTCGTAGTACGCGGGTTCAAATACTCGGCGGAGGTCGTCGAATTTTTAAGGGCGGAAAATTTCACGGAACAAGTCCTCCGGGAGGGACTTTAAGCCGTGGGTCCCGTGTCGTAGCTTTACGGCACATAAAAGAACCTCATATCTCCAAAGGTCACTGAGCCAAATTACGGACGTTTCCCGCCCAACAGCAGTCTCTAATACCTCTGGTAGATGGGGGAAGCATTATAGATACCTCTCAGCTAGTAGAGCCGGTCTCGCTGGCCGGGCGGGACTGATGGTAAGCACCAGTACCGGCAGGATATAAAGACTGGTAGAAATCATAGAGGGAAGCACAATGGACCAATACAGGTCTAAGTGCATGGGGAAACCCACCCTCTCTAATAACTAACTAACTAACTAACTAACTAACTAACTAAAGGGTTAGCAGTCGGATTTCCATCGCTTTAAGTAGAATTAAACTTCTCCCTAACAGACAGAAATGAATGCACAATTGTTCTCAAATTCCCTGCCACGGGAGTAATGCACGACACAGGAAATGAGACTTTCTGCATTCAGCACCGAAATTAACTCGCAAACCTTCAAATTCGGAACCATCCGTAACGATACAACAACGCACTCTACGTCCTCCCACCTTCATTTCAAACCCGTTCAGGGCGAAATCACCCCTGATACTTCGTATTTTGGATATCTCGGATTCAGAACTCGGTCAAGAGACCGCTGTTCTTCCTGGTTTTCCTCAGTCCCTTCGACTAGGCGTTGGCTGTTTCCTTACAAATCCCTTCAAATTCATT